ATTGTCCAAAAGTCACGGATAACATTAAAAAACGGATTGTAGTAATTATTTGTAGATTAAATGTATTTTATATTTTAAAATAATTACATTACATATACTCTATAATTAATTGAAATATGTTTAAATTGTATTTAAGCGTTCAATTCATGAATAAATCAACTTATTTTTAGAATATTTTAAAGTCTTTTTGTTATCTCTTAAAATTTTTTCTTGAGCAAATTCGTTTATTTTATTCTTGATCAATTCTATATTAAATTTTTCTTTCGCTGAACATTCGATATAGCTGAGTGCTCCAATTTCATTGGCAAATGTTATTCCATATATTGTTTTGATATAATTGTTTTTATAACTATTATCGTCGTAATACAATGTCATATTTTTAATTTTGTCTTCTCTCAAGTCAAACATAGTCCCAATCAACACAACAGGAGCTATTTTATAAAGTTGTCTGATGTGTTCAATTCGAGTTTTTGTAAAACATGTTGATTTGTCGGTGTAGAGTGAAAAACACAATAAAATGCAATCTGCAATGCGTATAGTACTGTCAACTAGTGACGCATATTCGGATCGTCCTGAAGTGTCTAAAAGTGCTGTTTGTATAGTGGCCTCACCATATAAAGTAACCATGTACGAATCTTCTAATGTTGGTTCGTATTCTTCATAATATGGTTTGTCACAGAGACAATTAATTAATTGCGTTTTGCCACACATTTCGTCTCCAATAAATACAACTTTAAATAATTTATTTATCATTCAATTGTTTGATTAATAGATGGTCTTAAATTTTAATTATTACAATCTAAAATGGAAAGAGGAATTTAATAATTGCATTTTAATTATAAAAACAAAAAATAAACAGCGTTAAAAATTGCATATCAAAAAAGTTTGATATTTATATTATTTTATTCAAGTAATTTTATAATTTTATTTTCAAATTTTAAATATCCAAACAAGATTTGCTTTGTAAAACAATTGCACTTAAAGCAAATAATTTTTATCGTTTTATTACTGTATTTTAGAGTACCATTTTTTTGTGAAAATTGTGTTAATTATCTTTTAATTTACATTTCTAGCACTTTCAAAGTAATTCAATTGTGCTATCATTATAAATTTAAAATCAATTGAAAACATAAAAAAATGTCCAGATTGATGATTATGTGTAAATTGTTCGTTAACAGAGAACTATTCATTTTTATTTAATTTATATATTTTTTTATATTTTGTTATTTATAAGACTAATCATACACATCAAAAGGTTTGTAAATAAATTTTCTAATATTTAAATATGCTAATTTGAAGTTGAAAAAACACCATCAAAATAAATTTAAAATATTATTTATTAATTGATTTGGTTAAATATATTATTATTACGTTATTTGTTTTATTTTAAATAAAACGCAAAAAGGTTGATTTTATAACTAAATTGAATTGTTGATTTTACATAACAACTAAAAGCAAATTTGTTTAAATATTGTATCATATATTGTTTTTTTAAATATGTGTACTAATAACTTAAAAAAATAATTTGTTATAAAAATATAATAATTATTGAAGTATGATCTTATTGATTATATTATGAAAAATATTTTATTAACCATTTAAATTTACAATAATTTTTGAAATTAATAAAACGACAAAACAACTGTAAATATCAAAATGGTTACACTTTCAAAAACGCAAAGTATGATTATCTCAAAATACTTTGACGCTTTCATTGACTTTATGGATATGGAGTTGGTATGCAAGAAGTTTGGTGGTATTACTGAAAAGTTTTATTTTAATTTATTTCCGTTGAATTGGAAAACAATTAAATATTTCCCAAACATTGAAACACCTCATTTGGGGAGTAAAAAAATGAAAATTTTGGAAATGGATTTCTGATTAACAGTAATAAACATAAAAAGAATGACAACTATAAAATAAAAACGTTTTAAAAAAAGCGTTTTTGTATTATTGTGTGGTTCGGGGTTAATTTCGAAACTGTTAACAGAAACAAATGTCGAAACACCGAGTTTAAAAATGTTATTTACACCAAAAACAATAGAAATATATTCGGTAATAAAGGGCTGGAAAAACTGCTTTTGATAATTTAATAGTAAAATGATAATATGATTATAGTTTTTTGTTTAGTTTATTTTTTCCCTTTCCTCGATTTGATTCAAAAAACAAGGTTTACAAGAGTCTCTATTACTTTTTCAAGATGCCGATGTTAGTTATTGAAATTTGTGAATTATTTTTTATGTAAAGTAAAGGCTGGATTTGCCGAATGATAAAAGAAGGAGCAAAAAGATTAACTTCGAAACTGTTCTTTGAAGCCAAAATAACCAAAAAACAACTCAAAATTTATCAAATAAAATGAACTTTTTATTAAATATTTTCAATTTTTTTGCATAAATAAAAAAACTCAAAAACACTAACCCGCGAGTGT